TCCAGTTTTTAATGGCAAAAACTGGAACAGATGGATGATACAAATGCGTGTGTTGTTTGGTGCACAAGATGTTCTGGATCTGGTTATAGATGGTTATGTACCAGCCGCAGCAGATGCAACTGAAGAATAGAGAACTGCTGAGAGGATGATGAGGAAGAGGGACCAGAAAGCTCTGTTCTATATCCATCAGTGTGTAGATGAAAGTGTGTTCGAGAAGATTGCTGACTCAACAACGTCAAAAGGGGCGTGGGATTTACTAGTGAGATATTACGGTGGTGACACATCAGTAAAGAAGGTGAAGCTTCAATCCCTACGAAAGAAATATGAGAACCTGAACATGAAGAGCAGTGAGAAAGTTTCTGAATATATCTCCAGAGTGATTCTGATCACTAACGAGATGAAGGCGTGTGGAGAAACTCTATCTGAATAGGTAATCATAGAGAAGATTCTGAGGTCGCTTACTCCTCAGTTTGATTACATTGTTGTTTCTATTGAACAGTCTAAAGATCTGGAAACCATGAGAATAGAAGAATTGCAAAGCAGCTTAGAAGCACAGGAGTTACGTCTGTCTGAGAAAACTTCTGAGAGGGAAGCTAAGCAAGCTCTGAAGGCTTCTTTTGTCAAGAAAGACCAGAAGCAGAATAGACGTGGTGATAGATTCCAGAAGTCAGAAGTCTCAACTTCTGATGATAAGAAATATCATAAAGGAAAGGAGGGGTATGACAAAAGGAAGGTTCAATGTTACTCTTGTAAAAAATTTGGCCATTTTGCCAGAGATTGTAGGTCAAACAAGAAAAGGAAATCAGAAGAAGCATATATGGCTAAGAGAAACTCTGATGATGAACCTATACTACTAATGGCTTCTGACTCTGATGGAAAATGCTCAGAAGATTGGTGGTATATGGACACTGACTGTTCAAATCATTTAACTGGAAACAAATAATGGCTGACAGACTTTGACTCCAGAAAGAGAACAAAGATCAAGTGTGATGACGATAAGTATCTTAATGCAGAAGGTATGGGATATGTCAGAGTTAGACTGAAGAATGGGAAAGACATTTTGATCAAAGACGTTTGGTATGTTCCTGGTATTGGAAGCAATCTGATGAGCGTAGGTCAGCTGATTGAGAAAGGTTTCTCAGTTTTTATGAAAAACAATCTTCTGACGTTGTATAATTCCAATCAGAAGTTGATTATGAAGTCTGAACAAGGAGGCAACAGAACATTCAAGGTAAATGTAGAAACAGCTGAAGCAACGTGTCTTAGTGCAGAAGGCGCTGAAGGTAACAGTGAGCTGTGGCATAAGAGGTTGAGGGCATTTGAACTATAGAAGCTTAGGGCATCTATGTTCTAAGAAGCTTGTACATGGTATTTCTAAGATTGTGAAGTCTGAGAAGTCATGTAAGATATGCATGAAAGGCAAGCAACCTAGATTGCCATTTACATCAGAAGTAGCCCCCCCAGAGCGAAGCATACTCTGGGAGTAGTATATTCTGATGTGTGTGGACCATTTCCAGTACCTTCACTTGGAGGAAACAATTATTTTATGTCTTTTGTGAATGAGTTCACAAGAATGACATGGGTAACACTCATCAATTTCAAGCATGAAGTGTTTACTGAGTTCCAGAAATTCAAAGTGAAGACTGAGAAGTAGAGTGGTCAGAAGTTAAAAATTCTGAGAACGGATGGTGGAGGTGAGTATAACTCTACAGTGTTTTAGAAGTTCTGTGAGGAGAGTGGAATAGAATATGAGGTTACTACTCTATATACTTCTCAGCACAATGGTCTTGCTGAAAGAAGAAACGGAACTTTGCTTGATATGACCAGAAGCATGCTGAAAGAGAAAAAGCTACCTCACGTGCTATGGGGAGAAGCTGTTGCCACATCAGCATATATTCTGAACAGGTGTCCAACGAAGAAACTGAAGGAAGCTGTTCCTTTAGAGAAATGGACTGGAGATAAGCAGAGTGTCAGTCATCTGAAAGTGTTTGGCTCTGTCTGTTACAAACACGTTCCAGAAGCTAGAAGACAAAAACTGGATGATAGAAGCAAAGTAATGTTGCTGGTAGGGTACCACAGTACAAGTGCGTATAAGCTTTATTGTCCAGAAACTAATAAGGTTGAAGTCAGCAGAGACGTTGTGGTGAAAGAGTCTGAAACATGGGATTGAAACAAATCTCAATCAGATTCTGGTGTAGTGCCAACACCAGAGTTAGCCTCTGAAGATGTTTTAGAAAGTTCATAAGATGAATCTGATTCTGAAGATGAGTCAGAAGAAGATTTTGGAAATGGATCTGATTCTGATCTAGATGCTGATGATGACCCAGAATCTGGTGGTGATCATAGTTCTGAAAGAGAAAACTCTGAAGGTGGTAACTCTGAAAGTAGTAGTTTTGGTGCAGCTTCAGAACAAACTCAAAGACCACAGAGAATCAGACAAAAACCAAGAAGGTTTTCAGATTTTAACATGTTGCGTGATAATGAAGTTGACTCTGAATGAGAAGTCATTCAGTGTGCCATGTTAGTAGATTCTGAACCAGTGAGCATTGAAGAAGCTCTCAAGAAGAAAGAATGGCTTAATGCCATGAAAGAAGAACTTGAGGCAATAAAAAGGAACAAAACTTATAAATTGACTAAACTTCTAGATAAGAAAAAAGCCATCAGCGTCAGATGAGTTTTTAAGTTGAAACTTAAGCCAGATGGTTCAATTGGCAAGCATAAAGCTAGACTAGTAGCTAGAGATTTTCTTCAGAAACCTGGGCTAGATTACTTTAAGGTGTTTACGCCTGTAGCTAGGCATGAAATAATCATACTGGTGATTGCTTTAGCTGCAAATAGAAATTGGCCTTTAATGCATCTGGATGTGAAGTCTGCATTTCTGAACGGTCCATTACAGGAAGAAGTTTATGTGTCACAAACTCTTGAGTTTGTGAAAAAGAATCAGGAAGGGATGGTATACAGGTTGAGTAAAGCTCTGTATGGACTGAAGCAAGCGCCTAGAGCTTGGAATCTGAAAATTAATTCGTTTTTCAAGAAGCAGAGGTTTTAGAAATGTGAGATGGAATATAGAGTTTATATACAACACTATGATAACAATATGATTACTGTGTGTCTCTATGTTGATGACATTTTGCTACAGGTAGTTGTCCAGAAGATATAAAGAAGTTCAAAGAAGTTCTGATGAATGAGTTCGAGATGACAGATCTAGGAAAAATGACATATTTCCTAGGGATGGAGATTTTGTACTCGAAGAAGGGTATCATTCTGCATCAGTTAAAATACGAACAAGAACTTCTGAAGAGATTTAAGCTGCAGAATTGCAAAGTTTTTGTGACACCATCAGAAACCAATCAAAAATTGGATTCTGACTCTGATGGTGATTTTGTTGATTCTACAACCTTCAAACAATTGGTTGATTCTCTAAGGTATTTATGTAATACTAGACCTGACATTTGTTATGCAGTTGGGTTGGTTAGCAGATTCATGAGTAATCCAAAGTGGTCTCATTTCCAAGCTGCTATCAGAATTCTGAGATATATCAAGGGAACCCGGACATATGGAGTGTTGTTTCCTTCTGAAAGAAAGACTGAATCAGAATTAGTAAGTTATTCTGATTCTGACTGGTGCGGAGACAGAGTGAACATGAAAAGTACTTCTGAATACTTGTTTAAATTTCCGGGAGGTCCCATTTCCTAGAGTTCCAAGAAATAGCCTGTCGTGGCTCTGTCAACATGTGAAGCTGAGTATATCGCAGTTGTTGTAGCTGCTTGTCAAGCTGTTTGGCTTTTGAATCTCCTGCATGATCTGAAGGTTGAAGTTGAGGAACCTCTGAAGCTGATGATTGATAATAAGTCTACAATTGATCTTGCCAAGAATCCAGTGCTACATGGAAGAAGCAAGCACATTGAGACGAAGTATCACTTTCTCAAAAGTCAAGTGCAGAAAGGAGTGTTAGAAATTCTGCATTGTAGCACTCAGAAACAGTTTGCAGATCTTTTGACAAAGGCAGTTAAAACAGATCAATTTCTTTGCTTGAGAGATGAAATTGGTGTTGTTAACTTCTGATAGAATATCTAAATTAAAGGATGATATTGGAAATATAATTTAGTTAATGTCTATAATTTCCAATGCTTATTCTTTAATAAGACCTTTTGACATTTTCAATGTTAGTATAAATATGCTACCTAGACTATCAATATTATAACTCATTCATTCCTCTATTTAATATACAATAATAGTCCTTCTTATTATCATTCATTGCTCATTATTCTCTCCCCTTTTATTACCTTGCACCAACATATATAACAACTATTATAATTTAATAATTTAATTATATATATCCGACAACTATTACAATTTAAAATAATTTAATAAATTAAATTAATACTTAATATGATAATCAATTACTTTTTTTTTACAGGACAGTCACTTCGCAAATAAAGCTCTAAGAAATTAATTTTTCGCCAACTTTAAAAAAAAAATTAATGGACAATGGTCTTCTATTGCTTCTTCGTTTTGAGTTTTTAGATAACTTTGCTTAATTCGTTTCTTCTGTTTGTAAAGGATGGATTATGGTTTAGGTGTTAATCAATTTACCCAAAAAATGCATTGGAGGCAAGCTGGTGCATGAATGTGTCGGAGGTTATCATGAAACCGAGACCGTCGACGTTTGTTTTTTCAAGGAAAATGCAATATATATGTAGACCATGTGGTTTAAGCCTCATACTTGGGCTTTTGGAAGCAAAGTTTTCTCCATTTGATTCTTTTTTTTGTTCTATGCTATGTTTTGATTTCCATGTATGTTAATGTTAAAACATGCGACGTTAAATATAAACCTTCAATCATATAATACTTGTATTCATATTCCAAACCCACAACTTATTTTTGTACATGATTCAAAATACAGTACATATCAAACATATTTGAACACAAAAGAAAACATAATACTATTTTGTTTGCATAACATAGCACCATTCATATATCACAAGTTTACTATCAAATCACTTTTTCTTAATATCAAGAAGACCCACACGAGTAACTCCTTCATCATCCAAGGCTCCAACATCGTTGAATGTCTGTCCCGTCATCTGATCGGCTGCTTTGAGTCTCTCCGCCACGGCTCCTGTTCGAGTGTCTTCAGTTCTGATCACTCCCTCGTTTCCACGCCTCCATGTTTCCTCTCTGAAACCTTTTTCTCCAACATTCCCCCCTTCCGTTTTCCTCCTTGCCTCTTCATCTGCTTCACTCAGCTTTTCCTGCATTCATCATCGATATTAGTTCTTTTCAACATTAAAAACAAACTCGAAAAATGTAAAATGAAGGTAGTACTAGGTAGTACTAGTACCTTTGTCTTGTCTTTTGCCTCAGCTGTTTTCTGCTTAGCAGCCTCGGCAGTCTCAGCTGTTTTTCGTTTAGCAGCCTCGGCAGTCTCTGCTGTTTTCTGTTTAGTTTCCTCTTTCTTGTCACCCAAGTAACCCATAGCATTTTTGGCTGCATCAGCAGCAGTGTCTTTCCCTTCTTTCACCTTCTCGGCCGCGTAATCCTTATACTCACCCATCTTATTCAATGTAGCATCTTTTCCTTCTTTTGCTTTCTCAGCTGCATAGTCCTTGTACTCACCCAGCTTATTCAATGTAGCATCTTTTCCTTCCTTGGCCTTTTCAGCTGCATAGTCCTTGTACTCCACAGCTTTATCCTTAGCTTCCTTTGCTTTTTCCCCTGCATAATCTGCATACTCATTAGTCTTATCTTTTGCTGCGTCCTTCGTTTCCTTCGCCTTCTGAGCCGTATAATCCGCATACTCATTTGTCTTTTCTTTTGTTGCATCCTTCGTTTCCTTCGCCTTCTGAGCTGCATACTCTGTATACTCATTAGTCTTATCTTTTGTTGCATCCTTTGTTTCCTTGGCCTTCTGAGCTGCATAATCTGTGTACTCACCAGCTTTAGAACCTGTTGTGTCCTTGCACTCCTTGGCTTTGTCAGCAGCAGAATCATAAACTCCACGGGACTTGTTGGCTGATATGTCCCGAACTTCACCAGAGACTAAATCCTTGTCGTCGTCGTAAACATGGACTTCTTGAGTTGTAGTGTGGGAATCTGTAGGGCTTCCCTTGCCAATTACAGCTTCTTTTGCATTCTCAAAAGTGTTTTTCACGGACTGCACCACGGAACCAATCACACCAGGTTTCTCCTGGTCATGTTGTTGTTGAGTTACAGTAGGACTTAGATCAGTCTCTATTGTTTTGTGAATTTCTTCCACATGTCTTGGTGGATTTGATGCCATTGATAAATTTCAGAGGATTGATGTAGAAGAAGAATGTAGCTTTTGTTTTGGTTTCTAACAAGAATGAAATCAGGTTGTTTTTCAAGTTTGTTGTAGATGTAGAGTTTATATAAATATTTAAAATGTATGAAATTATGTGATGATGAATTGGAGGGGTGAGGGACACGTGAGTATAGAAGAAGCACCAGCTGGCGGGAAAGGTCGGTGGGTGGACATGTGGCAGCCATGCTAGAGAGGTGTGAGACACATAAGAGATGCTTGGTGGGTGATATTTGGCTCTCTTATATTGATGACATTTGTATCACTGAAAATAATATTATTATACTAATATCTGTCTATCCAAAAGTAATTATATAAAGATTAGAGATATAGTATGATAAAATCCTTAATATGCCCCTATACTTATTTACTAATAAGTGCTTAAAGATGATTTTCAAAGTGGAATGACTTAGCCTCTGATTTGATTCTTTTAATTATTTAGACTATATATTTAATATATTTTTATTTTTATTTTTTATATTCTACGTCATCTTCTTTTTCTTCCACTTAATAATTCAACACTCATTTAATTTTTATTTATTATAATAATTTTGTTTAATAAAATTTATCATTTTATTTTACTATTTTTATTTTGTTTTATATAATAAAATCGATTTCTTTTGTCCAAATCAAATGAACCAAGTCTCTATTTATAGATTTAAAAAATGATGAATTTTTATGAAAATAAAAATAAATAAATAATTGATTTACTATAAAATAATTAAACACAAATAATTAATATGAGATAAAAATTTAAACATTCACAACGACCAATAAGATTTTACAAAGTATTTTATGTAACCTCACTCCTTTCTCATTCAATATGTTAAATGTTTTCAACACCAATTAATTCACTTCTTTTTCAACACTCTATTTAATATTTCATTACAAGCATTCAACTATTAAATAATTTTTTTAACAACCCTATTATAAAAAGTCTTAAAGATGATTCTAAGCTGCAAGTTCTTTAAGCATTAATATTTGATGAATACTCATCCTACTCTATGAGAAATTTTTCTCCTATGATAAAAAGTCACAATTGTCTCTAAAATTTTAAGATATATTTTTGGACTCATCCTTTTCATACACTTATTAGCTCAAATTGGTAAGATATTTTTATTTTATTAAAATTTAATTTAGAGACACATCTTTGTGTCAATATTAGGAAATTCGAATATGCATTTATGTAACAACCTTTAATTTAATATTCATTGAGCTTTCTGAAGATGTATCTCTAAAATATGGTATGTCATGTCAAATAGGAAATAATAGTATAAATAAATTAAGATTTGTGCGATGCGCGACTGTAAATTAACTTATTTATTTTTTATTAAATTTTAAATATATTAAGAGTTTGTTTTTACAAAATATTATTATTAAATTTATATTATAATTTTTTTTTGTAAATTATAGTATAGACAATGATACAAATTAATCACATAAAAAATATACATTTTAGATTTGTAAATTAAGAGTGATATCCGTAATTTAGGTTTGCAAACTTAAATATCTATAAAGTGATTTTTTTGTTTTGCTTTGATTCTCATATTTTTTGCACTTATCTTTAGTTTAGATATTTTATTTTAATATGTTAAATATATATTTATTTTTAGTATTAAATAAAATTAAAATTTTATTTATAACTATTATCAAATAAATTTTTCAATAAATTTATAAAATTTATATCTATTTTGTTGAACTTTAGTTATCTCATGAATAAATAGTTGAAAATGTTAGTTGTTATATTAAATTTTTTTAAGTATTATTTTAATTTTCATTATTGAGATTGTAAAAAAATATTTTATTTTATCATTGATATTAGTTTAAATATGAGTGTCTTTTTTAGATATTACCATAGATATTTTACTATAGTTTCTATGATCACTATTATAAAACAAAAAAATAAATCACTTTGAAAAAATTATATATTCTCATATGTGAGAAATTATAAATATTATTGTTTATTTTTAGTTTATTATTTGATATTATATGAAAAATATAATAGTAAAATATATATACGCAATAAGAACTATTTTAAATATTTGCTAAACATTTGTTTCAGATGTTATTTTTAATGTTATAATTATATTTTAGGAAAATAACAAATATTTTATTGTGTTCGAATTCTCTCACCTCTTATATATGATATTTTTTATTTATCATTAGTTTATTATTTGATATTATATAAAAAAATATAGTAGTAAAATATATAGACACCGTAAAAGACTGTTACATACTATATTATATTTTAAAATAAATTTAAAGTAACTTATATTTGAAAGTCATGTAAGGATTATTTTAAGATTAAAAAAATTTATTTCAAGTGTTATTTTTATTTCTATTAATTCAGGAAACATGAGAGAATGTTTCAAGTGTTTGGATTTCCATATCTCTTTTATTTTTGAAATATAAGAGAAATACAATGATGGTTGGTTTGTTAGACCAATTTGTTCAATATAATATTTCAAGTGTTTGGATTTCCACATCTCTTTTAAAAGTATATTTTAAAGTTAAGGGAATATACATAGGTTGAATGATGATTGGTTTGTTAGACTAATTTATTTAAAATAAGATTTTATTTCGTCTTTGCGAAAGTTAGAATGCAACCTTCAATTAGTAAAAGTATTGTATTTGACATTTTAAAAAATGAAAAATGAGTTTTGAGATGTGCTACATAGGATTATAAGATGATGTTGTAAATTTTAGAATTATAATTGATGATTAATCGATAATGTATTACTACAAAATTTGATGCATTAAATTTAATATATTATATAGATGTTAAAAAAAACAACATAAATTAACATTAAAATACTTAACATCTATTATCTAATCTTTACTAAAAGATTGGCCAAACATAATGATATTAATATATTATATAGACAATTTCCTGATGGAGTTTTGTTTATTATGTGTTGCCGGAAGTTCAACATAATGATAATGTTTTATGCTCTTTCTTTTTTTATGCTTTCTTTTCACCATATCATAGGAAATCAAATTTGAACTTTGAACAACAAGAATAACCCTACCAAGAGAATTCCATATATTGTATTACCAAAAAATTCAAATATCTCTCGCAAGCATAATGTACAACAACTTTTCATTATTTAGCTTAGAATAATGGCAAGCACTTTCCTAGTTTTGTTTGGTTATTTTCTCTTTTATTTGTCCTTATGCAACTATGAAACATAGCACAAGTAAAGGAGATGATGCCATGATTCTTATTCAAAACAAAATATAGGATATTATTATAATTATATTCATTCAGAAAAATAGAACATTGAATCATTTTTTTATAAAAAATAATTAACCCTACGATAATGAGCTTTAACAAACTATAAAAAGTGCCATTTTTTTTCTTCTATTTGTGTATAAGAACTATTGATGTCTAAAATAATGGTATGTCACTTTGGAGAATCTTGTACGCTTTATAAATAGAGATAATTACTTTTCGTAAAAAGATAAATTATTTTCTTTTCCACTGATAATTTACTATTTATTTTAAAATGAACACCTTAACTTAACTTATTAAAATTATTATTGACATTTATGTTTTAAATTTATACAGATAATTAATTTTTTATCTTATAGGTTACTATCATAATAATCTATTTTATTTAAATTAATAATTTAAAAAAAATAAAATATTTATTTTTAAATATGATTTTTTCTCCATTTCACAGTTTTTCTTCTTATTTTTGTATGATTATTTAATATTATTAATCTATATAAATATTGTTCATTTTACAAATAAATAAATCATTTCAAATTTTACATTTATATTTAAAACTTTACATTTGCATAATTAATTTTTTTCATAAATAATTAATTTACATAATTATTAATAAAAAAATTATGACTGACAATTACTCATATTAGTTATATCATTCAAAATATACTACATCAAATATACGAATATTCGTGCGGAAGCACGAGTCTCTGACTAGCTACATAGATAATTGTTAACATAAATTTAACATTAAATTTCATTACTAAAGGGTGATTCAAATCTTTGCAACATCCTTAGAATATTTTTAATAGATCTTGCAATTGTCATATCCACTTCAATCAGGTCTTTTGATGAGTAACACTAAAATATACTCCATATAACTTTTAAATCCTCATTCGCCTGCAATTCAAGCTTGGTAAACCGTATCTTTCCTTCTGTTGAAATATTAAATTAGATTAGATTAGATTTGATTAGATTTAATATTTAATATAATCCAAGTTGTGTTAGCCCAAGCCCAATTAGGATTGTATATAAATAGTCATAGTGTGTATCATTATTTGTACACTTGAATAATACAAATCCTTATTTCCTTTATTATTCTCTCTTTCTCTCCTCATTAAAAGTGTCACACGCACTAACAAATTGATATCCAGAGCTTCCGGTTATTGTTCTTGATCAAGTTTTCAAGAATTTCACGCCAGAGATCGTTTTTCTAGGGCAAGTAAATCAACCGCTGCGAAGATGGCTAATGATCAGGGCATTCCAAATTCTCTTCCAATGCTTGACGGTAAAAATTGGATCCGATGGAAAAAACAGATGCAATCCTTATTTGGCTTCCATGAAACCCTAGAAGTGGTTACCGACGATGTTCCAGAATTGGCTACAAATGCAACCGGCGAACAGAAAAAAGCCCACAACAGAGTCAAGAAAAAAGATTGCAATGCGGCTTATTGCATTCAAACGGATGTCGATGCTGTTAACTTCGATAGATTCTCTCATGCCGAAACAGCGAAGGAGGCATGGGATATTCTGGTAAAGTATTTCAAAGGAGGTGAGAAAGTCAAGGTTGTCAAATTACAAACCTTACGTCGATAATATGAGTTGTTATCAATGAGAGAAGATGAAAAAGTTGCAGAATATGCGTCGAAGGTTCAGAAACTCGTCCATCTCATGAAGGGTTGTGGTGAAACCATTACTGATAAGATGATAGTTGAGAAGGTAATGAGAATGT